TAGGGGTGGGCAAATGACAAAATTTTTTTAAAACAGGTGGATTCTATGGCCATTTTTGCTGCTGAACACAAATCTGACAATATTTTTTACCAAAGCTAAAGATTTATATTGGTATCTGCTATTTGTTTGTGAAAAAAGGCGGGAAATGGCTTTTTGGCCATATTTTCACAGTAAAGTACATAAAAATGATGTGTAATATTTCTTTCTATATGTTTTGAGGGTTGCTGAGTTCAAATATGAGCATATTCAAGACATTGGCAATATTGTTAGGGTGACATCTGTAAAAATAAGTTATTTAAAACAAACATATACATAAAATACACACTTCGAGCCTGAGATAAATATAAATAATGGCCATTTTGTACATACTGAATGCATGGATTACAGTTTGGTATAAAAACAATGCTGAAAATACCTTCATGGATGTGTACCAACAAATTTTATGCTGTATAATTTCTTTTCTTCAGAACAGGTAAAACTTTGTCAGGTGACATCAACCTCTTACAACCTCTAAGCTCTTGACCTTGGAATAGTACTTAGTTTCAGTTGCGTAGTTTAAGGGTATCTCACCACCACCATGAAAGCGTAAACAAGAAATACACTGAGACCAGAAGGCACTGTACAGCCCCCTGTCACACTTATTTGGAATCTGAAGTAATCAAGCAGAATGAGCCATAATGAAGAATTTTCAAAATTCGCACCACATTCGTTGGGTAATATCAAATTGACCTTAATTCCAGTAAGAATACCTCAAAATGCGCTTCGAACCCACCTGGAATGATTCGTGCACATTTTGGTTGTATTGTATTAGCTCTCAAATGCAGCTCGAATGTAGTTGGAACACATTAGGAATATCGCTAATGCTGTCTAAATATAGTGAGAATATTTAGAATGCACTTCAAATGCCATACAAGTGTGGTTTCATTGCTGGCTGAATTCCGGCCTGCAATCAAGATGCATTCGAGTTGCATTCCTGCTCATTGGAGGCACAATGTGGAACATTCTGACAAGATTTGAAGCGCCTTGCCATTTCGGTTCTCCCTCGAATGTGATCAAAATGTTTCGAATGCTGTTGGAATTTCGTAAGAATCTAAGAATGCGCTCATAGTGCAGTTAGAATACGCTTGAATGCCATTCGATATTTTTTCCATTTGCAATGCACTTCGAAAGTTTTGAGAATGAGCAAAACATTTTAACAGGACACAAGAATGGACCCAAACATTTAGAATGCGCTTAGAATTTTTAGATACTTCAAATATCCAGGAATAAACAAGAAATTTTCATTCTGACTACATTCTAGCTCATTCCGCCTCCAGTGTGACTAGGTTATAAATGAAGATAATAAGGATATCGTCACCGTTCACCCAAAACTCCTTATTTACTGCCTTACATACATTCTTTTCGGTGATAAATAAATTTTCAGTGTTCAGTGATTACATTAATTAACATTTACACATGTCATCTTACGGGTGACGGCATAATTGCAGTTTAGGGGTAAAAATTGAAAAATCGGTTTCTCAGATTTCTGTTTTACCTGAACACCCGTGATCACTATTTCAAAGCCAATTTAATGACACCATTTAGTACCCCAAAACCCTGCCAGCGATTTTTTAAAGCCTTAGTTCAGATTTGATCGTTGATAAAGCAAAGTAATACCTTTGTTTTTAGAAGATTAGTCATTACGGACTCATTACTCCATAACAAAAGCATTTAAACCAAAAAGTTGGCATGGGATTGTAGCTCATGCCCTTGTGGTACATTGGCCAATTTTCGTGATTATATCTTGTTCAGGGATGAAGTTAAGCCCCATATGGATTGCCAACTAATCTCAAAAAGGAAAGCTGTTAAATAGATGATTAAAGCTTTGAGTTGCTAATGCTTATACATTGCAACGAAAAAATATAAACGCCGATATTTCATATTTTCAAGAGTTTGTTCATTGTTTCAAAGCAGCACAAAGACAGATACATTATTGAATAATTAGATACAGGAAAAAATTCATTTTCGGTATCTGGATGGTAATAAAGAGTAACAATATCCTTAATGCTCTGCTACTGAGTGTTCTACTGTAAATATTCCCGTATGTAACTAACATTATGCCTATTCTATATGTCAAAACTTTTCAGTTTCATGTGATCTTTGAACAGTATTGACCATATTTGTTGTAATATTGTTTTTCCTAACTTAAAAGCCACAGTTGCATGTTTTATAAACATTTGTATGTATGTACACAGGAATGGTGATTTTGGGGTGTTTTATACCTCAAAATGACCAAAAAATCCTCTTTTTAACCCAAAATGAAGTGACCCAACCGAAATGATGTATCTATTTGCCCTCATTGATCATGAAATCATATGATTAGACATATAACAAGCCATCTTTGGACTGATATTTAAAGATTTACATGAGAAATATGTGATTTGAGGGAGCGTTTGGTGGCCATTTTGAAAAATCACTTGATACCAATATCAGATGTAATTTAAAATGAAAATACTTATTAGATTTGTATTCAGCAGGCAAAATGGCCATAGAATCCACTTGTCTGAAATTAAATTTCCCAAAAAAGCTTTCATTTGCCCACCCCTATCTGAACATCCTCTGCAATTCTCTTGTACTGTATATACACTTTTTATCAGACATGAATCTTGTAGACTTTGTCTACACCCAATATGTCAGGTTTCTAATGACAGTCAACAGAATGACAGATGTTGGAAAATCTGCTTCTGCCTAACAAATCATTTTGCCCAACTTCAAAGGTAGTCATTCAACAATTTGTTTGTACCTGACAAAACATGTTTTACATTAAATGCATCCCCTGTAAAGGAAAATAATATAAGATACATGGAAAGTCATAAGGTGATGGTTAGGTCATGAATATCTATACCTGGTAGAAAAGACAAAAATGAAAATCTTTGGTCTACAGTGGTTGTCCTCTGAAACGGTTTTTGGTTCACACATACACTTTCTAAAAATAGTCTGTTTTGTACAGTAGTTTGAAGCTAATAATATAGCATAAACTTGCTAATTCACAAGAACCAATCTGAAGCATTTGTACTACGTATATCATTAACACTTTACAGTAATGACGTCTTCAGTTGTCGTAACTAGACAAAAATATTATGTTATATTTTACCTTTAATGTTCAAACATAAGATCGTGGCACAAACGGGACTACAGTGCATAATTAAAGATTGACGTTTATATTAACAGACACATCTGTGTCTTTGCATAAAAATTACAATCAGCATATACTACACTGAACAGATATCTTACCTTAATACTATAACCACTGGTATGTGGAATACTGTAGAACCAAAGACATAAAAAGCTTGCTGGACTTCTGAAGGTGCTGTAGATACCAAATTGGTGATTGTTGTATACATGACAAAATTCTGTGCACTGTACAATCTGAATGGACCACATGACTGAGAGGGTTTAATCCTGAATAAAATTTAAGTCTGGTTAAAGAAACAGTAAGTGCAATTCCAAATGAACATGAAACATGTTGACAAATTGGGCAAGGTCTTCAATATATTTTACATGCATTTTTTACATGTTAGCTATTTCGGCCATTTTATTCTAACACACACAAACACACACTTTCTATCAGGTGAGCTGAGGTAAAAAATCAACCAACAAAATATTACAAGTACAGTACATCGAAACTGAGATCAGAAAGAAGTGTCGCTAAACACAATGTTTTCTCTATAGGTCACTTTTTTTTTGGGCTGGGGGGGGGGCTTAGGAGGGTTAAGATAACTGGCCTTCTGGTTGGAAAAGGTCTGCTTTGAATCAAAATCTGATGTAGGAGATAGTGGAGAGGGAACGTGAATCTGAATAAATGTGTACTAATATGTCATTAATAATTTGCACCTGGCATCAGTGCATAGTTTTGTGTTTATTTGCCAAGGGACAGTGTATATGCTCCCTCTTTAAGTACCGTACAAAGGACTAAAATTTTAGAAAATCAAACATCTTATTCTTTACTTATCAAATACCATTACTTTTAAAAATTCTTAAACCTAAACTCGGCAATTACACATCAAATTTCACACAAAGGAGAGCTCCCATTTAGAAAATTTTAATCATTTTCTTGAAAACATTGAAATACAACAGAAATGTCAGTTGAACTTAGTTTCTACTGTAATTGAGTACAGACATAAGTTTCAGCTTCATCCTTTCAACAGTTTGGAAAATGGGCCCACAGTTTGAATAAAATTCATGAACTTCACGATTGGTTCTGCACCAATAATAGTCTATCAACAGGATTATAAAATAAGATATACTTATACTTACATGCCAATGCACACTCCGATTGGTAAGACTGCTGTGAATGCAAATCCCAGCAGCAATACAACCATAAAGAAGAAGTTGGATCTAGCTGCCCTGTAAGGCTTGGAAGCAGGGATGCAATTTTTCATCAAAGACCACTGAAAATGGATAGACAAGGAAATATATTCTAAGATTATTCATTCAGTGCAGTATGGATTGCTTACTTGTGTGTATTTTTCACCCCTAATTGTTGTTCTGGTGGTTCTAAAATCTGTAATTTTGGATTACACTACTGTATGCCTTAATTGCTGGCATCAGTTCCTTACTAAAAAAAACATCAGTCCTATAAAATATTGCAGTTAAAATAAGGGGGACAGATCAAGCAATTACGTTTTTGAGTTTTTAAACTGAGGTAGCCGTTTCCAAAGCCTTTTCAGAATTCACACAACTCAATTACAAAGAAAATTCAGCTGTACCAATGGACTAACAAATATCAAGCATAATCAGACAAAACAGCTACAATTATACTGATATTTGACATGGAACCATGGTAATGATGTAGACTGTGCACAGATGTGCAAACACATGAACTTTGGATGATAATTCAGAATTCTTGAACACATTTATCATACTATTAAGAGACATACCCTGAATGAGCTTACTAGGTAAGTTTTAAGATGACAAGATATTTAAAAAAAGCCTCATAAGTATAAAATACATATACTTGACTACTAGTACCTAAAATGAGCATAAATTAGGTAAAGGGCTACACTCCTTGTGAATCCATAAAATTCACACATATGCATTATTTTTAATGAGTAGTTCCCTCAATCAAAGAATAAATTCCTTATTTGCAGGAGTATAATAAGCTGCATGGTGCCAATCCTGCTATCCCACAGTACAGAACTAATTGCAGCTTCAGGATGCAGGTGCAACAAGTTGTCATGGGATACAACATAAAGAGCCTCCTACGCTAAGATAGGAGCAAGTAGATGTTTTACAAATGTGTCGAAACTGACTGCAATATTTAAAAGGAACTGCCCTATAATGGTAGATGGTTCTGACAGAAAACTTTTCCAAATTAGTTTTTATTAGTAAAAACACTATGTTTTAATCTTCTGTATTACACAAGAGGCATAATTGATATAGCCCAAGATTAATATGAGTAAATTCTGATGCTGGTGTTATCAAATGAAAATAATTTAATTTTTTGTTGCAATATAAGTACATCATGGTATAGCACTTAAGAAACTTAAGTTGATATAATGTGAAATTTAATTTAAACTGATGTTCAATATTTTTAGGTTGTAAAACATTAAACATTCAATTTGGCCTAACTTGCAAAATATGTTAAGAATGAAAACTGAATGTGATTGGCTAGGAATAACCAATAAAAGGTTGCAGCCTTTGCAGTCTTTTCAGAATACTGGATGAAAAATCTCTAGCTGTCAAACAATTTTGTTCTGCCGTCAAAAACTACTGTGTGATAAAATGGAAAATTCTGTTGTTATAATCTTCATAGTTTTTGATCAAATCTTTATAGTACCAGTGTTCATTGTGACTTGTGTGGCTGCCAGGACTGTTATAAAGCATGCAGGGATATCAGTGAAAAGTAAGTGCATATTTTCCTGTTATAATTTGATTTTTTTTCAAATTTGTCTGTTTGCTAATGAACATGAACACCCTTATTCTAAAGGTCTAAAATATCATTTAAGGATATTGTCACCATTTGCACAAAACTCCTTATTTACTGCCTTACATACATTCTTTTGGGTAATAGATAAATCTTCAATGTTCAGTGACTAAATTAATTACCATTTAAACATATGTCATTTTATGGGTGATGTCATAATTGCGATTTTTGAGGTAAAAATGAAAAAATCCTTTTCTCAAATTTCTCCTTTACCTGAGCACCCACAATCACCATTTCAATGCCGATTTAATGACACCATTTAGTACTCCAAAACCCTGCCAGAGATTTAAACCAAAACAACAGCACGGGATTGTAGCTCATATACTCTGCCAATTTTCATAATAAAATCTTGTTCAGGGATAAAGTTATGCCCCACAACAATTGCTGTCTCACCTCAAATTAGAAAGGTGTTAAATTGATGATTAAAGCTTTGAGTTGCCTATGCTAATACATTGCAATGAGAAATATTAACTCCAGTATTTTATATATTTCAAGGGGATTTTTTATTGTTTTAAATCAGCACAAAGATAGATGCATTACTGAATAATCATATGCAGGAAAACCTCATTTTCGGTGTGTCTGGATGATAATAAAGGGTTATAATATCCTTAAGTTTGCTTTATGTGTTAAACTTATCTATAACCTATTTCCCCAAAAAGATTATAAACAATTTTTGGGAAGAAAAATTTAACTGGACAATTGTTTGTTCAAGGTAACATGATAGCCACAATAGCATCTGGCACATTTGTTTTCCTGGCGGAAGAAACCATCTGGAATATTGCACTGGTAACATCAGATGAAAAGAGCATCCCAAAGGTCTTCTGGCTCATTCTCAAAAATACCCATGATAGCAGTTTGCTGTTGATCCATATGGGACTAGCTTGGCTTTCTCTGCAACTGTGAGTACCTTTACTAACTATTGTCTCAAAACATCCCCACATGCAAAGCCCAACAACATTGATAATTTACCCAGTATATGTTTTTTTTTTATCAGTCCCTTTAATCATTTCATCAAACAATAAAATGTTCCTAGATATTCTTTTGCACATTACTTTTGTGAATTCATTTTTTAGCTTTTTACTGTAAATACATATTGGAATCCATTTACGACAAAACAGTAACAAATTCATCAAAACATTCTATCTGTTTCAGTGCCTCAAACTTTTTTAAAAGTATCAGAATTGTGAAATGCATCAGCATTTTCTTATGGACAATCTCAGGTAAATTATTTCCTTTTTTTAATCATAAGTTTCTTTGACAAGTTCAATTTTGAAACTTATTCAAAAATGGTCAAGATAAATAAGTACATTTTACTGTAATCAGTCCCTATTTCTTGATCTTGAACTGCATGTAAGAGCTTAATGAATTCAATGTAAAAAAAGAGTAACATTTTCTCCAGTATATCAAGGTTTCCAAGGTTTCATCAGAAGCACTGTGTTATGGGCAACACTAAAAGCAATCATGGATAAATTTGATAAATTTAATTGTTTTCAGTTGGAGCAACAGTAGCCATATCCCATGGGACAACAAATGCCAACACAAACACAGAGCCTGTTGACAAAACAGCATACATTTCAAAGGCAATCTTCCCTACAAAGGATATATCTACTACTACGAAGTGGGCAATCTCTTCAGTAATTTATCTTCCTTTTGTATTGATTATCATTTTATCCAGCATCATAATAAGAAAGAAGCAAAAGCAAACTATTTTTGCTCTCAATGGTGAAGAACAGGATACAAATGATGTCCACAATATCCGTGCAGGGCATGCTCTTCTACCCGTTCTTCTGAGTGAAGTTATATTCATGATAATTTCCTTCATCTTCAAGAACATGGAAAACAGTATAAATGTTCACAAGTACGAATTCATAATTTTTCTCAATTGTTTCTTCATCCATGCCCTAATAGTCACTTTACCCACTGGTCTTTGTATTGTTGGCAAAGAATTTCAGATAAAGCTCAGCAACTGCTGTGAGAGAACAAAAGCCACGTATACAATAAAGACTCCGAGGGATGATACCGTCAATGTGGATGAAATAGAACCAGCAATCACATCAAACCCAGTCCAGCGTCCCCACCAGTTGAATTCAAACAAAATCAGTGTGATTATTCACAATGAACTGAACCAAGAAATTGACTGCTCTGTAGAACCCGAATTCAAACGTTTGTCAATGGCCGGTCCTGCAAGTGGCCAGAAAGGTGCCAAATCAAGAGCCAGCAGTCTTACAGGAAAACCTGGTCCATCTAAAATAGTCACTCTTTCAGTGAGCGTAGACGATGAGAGCTTATGCACAAGAAAACTTTCATTAGTGTCCAGTTTGTCTATGGGAATGTCACAGGTGGCATTTCATGGTTCCACGACATGTCTGTCAAACTTTGAAGAGGATTTCAGTGCCCCTGCCTCCCCTACAAAAGCCCCTCCAAACCAAACAATCAACGAAGTATTTCTAGGTGGGGAGCTTCAACTGCGTGATCTCAACATAAATCATGAGCGATCATCATGCCCAGCATGGAATTATAACCTCAGTCCACCACCACTACGAAGAGACTGCACATCTATGCCTGACCGCAAGAATACGGCAGGTAATAACCCAGCAATGGAGGACTGGCATAAAGTTCAAAAATGGAGAAACCAAAACATCAAAATGGCCTGGATCTCAAAGCCATCAAATGAATGAAACATCTGCAGTAGACAGAGAAAGAAGAATGTACGGCCACTCACCTTTTTCAAATAGAAAAGGATGAAGCACTTCAGAACTGTTATTGCTGGGATGAGAGGACTGAAGAAAGCCCCCAACCTGCAAAACAATAAAACAATGTTACAAGTTCTAGTAATTGTGAATGTTGAAACCATGTTAACAAAATTCATTAATACAAAATAAATTTAGTATAAAACACTGAAGCTCAATGTTTCAAATTAATTGTTCAGACCATGAGACAAAAAGGTTGGAGGGCAAATACGGAGAGTGCTATCTATACTTGCTCCATGAGGACGGATACATATTTCACACCAGTGTTTTTTTGGGAACTTAATCATGTAAAAACAACAGTGCACATTCTCTTTTATCCCACAGGTAACCACCAGAGAGGGGCAGTTCACACAAGTCAGTCGTCAGAGCTTGTACAGGGATGACATTCAAACTTAGAGGTGGTAGTAGTCTCCATCCATCTTATTTCATAGTTAAATTCTGTTGTTGTTTTGTATAAAGTCTGCACAGTACTGATGATGTTTTGTTATCTTTTTCAGTGTTTCAATAAAGTATTTTTCTTTTCTTTTTGTCAGCTCAAGTGAACTGTTTTTCCAGCTCAAATCTGATAAGTTGTCTGTGAAAATTATGACATCCATTTTATCCGAATATGGCAATGATGACATGGCTAGTGGCAGTGGTCTTAACGTTTTTTAATTGTTTTGTGCAAAAGTTAAGTGTCGTGACAATTGGTCATGCTAAGGAGAATAATTTTTTACGTCAATTTATATCATAATTACAATTTAAACCACATAAATATACAAAGTGCACAGGCTTTAAATAGATTTTAAAAAAAAAAAGTTTTATTGGCTGTGCTGCCTCTGGGTCTTTATGGCCAGACCCGGCAAGGACAACTTAAAGTCATCAGATATCAAACCTCCCTGTACCTACCCCCTGTAATATGACCTGAAGGTAAATCACGGTATTGAATACCACTGTATTTAATATGAAATGTGGTAAGGCACGGTTTTCAATATGACCCGAAGGTAAAGCAAATGCCGTGCAAAGTGGTGGGGATGCCCATGGACAAGATGATAGAAAAAGTTAATTAAACCATTTCATTGTAGAGAATTTAATATTCAACACTCTGACACAAAATTATCTAGTACATGTATATATCATTAAAATTATTTTTACCAGCACAGGGTCTGTGTGTACACTACATCTAGAACATTCTTTGGGATGTCAAATTCTTGTTGACCGACTAATTTCATGAGTTTGTTTTTATGAAACCTGGTAACCAACAGTCTGAAATGAATGAGTAAACTTAAGCAATAAATATCCATGAATAATCATATTGTCAAAGTTGCTTTTTTTTAGCTTATACTTTTATAAGACATATAATACTGGTACTTCATTAAGCGAATATTATTCTACTCAAACAAGCTATGAAAAAAAATCAAGTGTTGCTGGAGTAACAATTTTTATTTTTACTGCAAGGAAGACAGACAATCTAAAGCCAATTTAACAATTATAGATAATGATTTAACTCAAAAATAAAAAGCCAAAGGGGCAAAACTAAACAATTCAAAACACTACTTACTTTCTTGGAAACTCCGCAAAAATTGTAACACCGGCCACCACCAAAAAATCCAGAATGACAAGTTTATATATCTGCTGACCCACATAGGTTTCCCAGCACTGAAATGGATATTTTCTCCACTAAATGCAAGGTATTTCATATTTCTGTATTGTCAGATAACACATTTAACATAAAGTAACCTTCTTAGATATGTAATTCAACAGGCACGATGATAAAGCTTTCAGAAAAACAATTATTTGTAGTGTTATTCTTGGAAATGTCAAGATTTTAACATATCTTCTACTAGATTTTCTGAAAATATTTAATTACCAAATAAGGATCATTTGGAAAGTTACAGTTGCCACATTTTTTTTGGCGACAGCTAACTATCGCAACGTAAATAGAAACCAGAAGAACACCAATGGAGGTCAGTCGTAAGAAAACAGTCCTGGAAGAAAAAAATAAATAATTTTTTCATCCGATTATGCATACAAATTTTTGAGATGTTATTTTCTGTGTTTGGATGGAAAGCTTGTTAGCTTTTAAAAGTCTTATCCAAGTCTTATCCAAGCCATAATATTATAAATTTATATGTGTACTTGAATAATATCAGTTTAAATAGGCAAATCTTCATATTTTATGTTTATATATTTGCCATGTTCATACATGAGATATTTTGAAAAGTATTCAATATTCTCCAATTATCTTGCATGCAGTGATTCCAAACAAACAAACAAACAAACACGCACACATGCACACACACACACACACACAAACACACAGCAATAAAATGGGAGTATAAATACTTGAAATAAATACATAACAGTCTGTGACTTACACTTGTACTTACTCAAGCATCTAACAATATTCATGAATAGTAAAATTTATACTTACCATAATCATGTATAGTTTAATGTATACAGCACTAATTAATATCTATCCTATAGGGACAGAGAGAGCTTTCTCAAAGAGAAAATACTCTGGTGTCCTCAAAGGTCAAATGTCCTGCATTTTTTTATTTTCTGTAATTTATAGCTTTTTACTTGGGACATTAGTAAATACATTTTTTTCACTATTTCTGAGAATTGAAAAATATGAGATGAACTTTTTTTCTTTTCTTATCCAGATAATAATTTCTTTCCACAAGCTTGAATTTTCAACTTTCAAATTAAAAAATGGAGGGTGAAATGTTTCTTTTTTTTAACAATTAAATTGCAGTAATGATTAACAGACCTCTTATTTTTGTACAGAAGATATTTTGTATGTGTCTATGGATATATCTAGTAGAACCGAATTCTTTCATACTGGTAAGGAAGTGCTTGTAGCTAATCCTCTTTGCTTTTACTTGATTCAAGGTCCTCCATTTTATTTCATTTTCTTCTTTGGAGTTCAATTTTTCTAAATTTTCCCATAGAGTTATACCTTATTTTGTTACCACAGGTTAAAAGACTTTCTTAATACCTAATTTGATTTACACACCAGGAAAAACAGTAAAGATAAACTTCCTACTGTCAAAATATTTTAGGAAGAAGTTACACTTACCTGATAAGTGAAAGCCTAATTTCAAACTCTGGTGAATATTTTTCCACCATGATGATTCTATTAAATATTTCTGGCACAATGATATTGAGAAGAGTTATGGTAATGGAAGGTAGGTACTGCAGAAGGAGACTGACAAAATCGTCAGTATTCCTATTGGTAATTTCCTAAATCAAAATAATAAAGAAATTGTGTCAATCAAAAAAAAGTCAACATCATGAGAAAAAAGTGTGCAAATTTTCATATGTTTGGCTTTACAAAAAATGTAATAAAATTTACTTGGTAAGAGACGCTAGTACATTCTTCAACAGAATGAACCTGCAGTACTGACTTAAAAGCCACATTATCAAACATGATGGTAACTTCAAATTTAATGTAAAATTGCCGTACCTTTTCAGAGAAATCCACCACTCTGAAGATACCATAGAATGATCCTCCCAATATGCCTACAACCAGAATATTTGATAAAACCCGCACTGTGTACAGGCGACATTTCTGTCCTGTTGTCCTCGTGGCTGCCCTCTGTGCACGTCTTTCCTCTTCTAGTTCATTCTATTAAATACAAAAAGACTATAATACTTGATTTCAATAATGTAGGACTACATGGCCCTTGAATTAGAAATAATATTCATGACAAAGACAGCAGTTATAGTCTTCCAGTCATAAAATCTTTATTAGTTCCCTTGCATACATACTGTGGATGCCGCTTTCACACCACTCACTTAAAAGGTGCAAACCCTTATGAGCAATTTTTTAGGATATATTACCATAATTTTTTTTTTCTAAAGTAATGAATGTTTTACCTTTATTTCTTGGAAAAGATTTTTCTTTTTTAATTCACCAGCCTTTTCAGAAGCCAATGCATAATCCCAGCCAGTGAAGACCATGTTAGTGTATTGGAAAAACCTGTCACCACTTGTCACCAAGTTTTCTTGGAAACCTTTGGCAGCACTAAAAAGATTACAATATAATATATATTTGTGACCTTATGTGCATGCATACATACATTAATATATTGTTACAGTACCTTATCACCACAGCAGGGGTGCATATGATTATAATAAAACTATCCATCTACATTAATTTAATACCTTGGTAAGCAAATCTGGTTAACTTGCTTGAACCCGTTGATTATTCCCAGCAAAAAAATTACTACAAGTTTTGTTCTAATTAGGCAGTTTATTCTAATAAATTAAAAGTTCTTTTTAAATCATTGTGAAAAACTGAGAAAAATTAAACCACACTTTGACCTATGATATGAACAAATGGTTTGAGAAGCTGTTGTCTAACAAACAAGCATAGGCAATAATGTAATGATGAGCAGAAAGGAGCATACAAGGACAATCATATAAGGATTAATTAAAACATCAAACTGTGCATTGTCTGGTATTGTATTCCTAGATATAATTCAACCACATCTTTCATCAGAATTTATATTCTAACATGAATGAAATAACAGATTACAGGCTTTTTGGGCAAATACACATTATACTGACCATCACAATTAATTTAATTTTTTTCCTGAATGTGCCAGATCCAATATGAGTTTCACTCAAAACATTTTCAGAGACGAGACCGAGAAGAGTCATTAAGTGTCACTTAAAAATCAAAAGTTCTAAACCTACCTCCTGACCATGAGAATCAAACTGAGCAGGAAATAAGCAGCTGTAGCTAACAGATAAGCTAGGGACATGTTGTATACAGTCTGCTTGTCCAGAAAGGTCTTGTTGAAGTACTGCCCATAAAACAAGATGGTGTCTTCCATAAATCCCTGAAATTGATAAATAACTTATTGTTAGATGCCAGTAATAAAAACTGGATCAATAACTATAAACAAAAATCCTAGTCAAATCTTTATTCTATAAAACAGTCTTAAATATTAAAGGGCAATCTGAAGCAAAAACCTGCTCCCTTAGGTGTCAACAACTCAAGTTAAAATGGTGCAGTACACAGCCACAGAACATAAGACTATACACATACTGTGCCTTGCAAAAAATCCAAGATATAGTCTCCTGGTGTGGCATTCATGGACTTGTTTTGAAGATGTACCCTATAGTCCAAAGTACATTCTTGTGCTTGACCTACATAGTCCGTATTTCCTAAACCACAAAAAAAAATAAAGAAATCTATAAAAAGCTTTAAACAACAGACAGGGAATAATGCTGAATCTTCTCCTTATTTATATCCACAAATATGTACTGATCAAATATATAATAGCTTGTGCATATATACCTGTGTGCATGTGCGTGTGTGTGTGTGTCCTCAACAGAGATTTTTACAGAAAAATTGTGTTGCTAGTACAGTGTAAATATAAAATAAACATGATATGAGCTGATACCTGACAGAGCAGCCGTTCCCCCACTGGTGTCATTACTGGAACTGGTCCCATTGTCAATGACAACAATCACAGTAGTCATAGTGAGGGTGGTCAGAGATTCAGTGGTCATAGTGACATTGGTCATATTGTCACCAGCCTGTTGGGAAGAGCTAGGTGTAACAGCAACAGTGGCCAAAAAATCATGGGGCTCAAGTATCAAATGGGGCAATGTGATAACACAGAATGTTATGACTGCTATGTAGACGTTCAAAAAGAAGATCCACTTCACAAAGCGAAAGTAGGACATGATGCCAGTACCAAAATGACCTGAAATGAAAAAGAATCTTGCTCATATCTTCCTCCAATTTAAACACTGGTTAATAAATTTTGTAAAAAACACATTTACCAAGTCACCAATTATTTACAAGGCAAATTGTAAAATCTACAAACCAGACAGGGAAGTACTACATTATCTGACAACTTTTCAACTCTATAAATTTGATGTACATGTCTTTAAAACTTCCACTATCTAGAAAAATAATGAAGTAATTCTTCAGTGACTTCTTTTATTGTTGAATACAGCATTTGTATATGAGCTCTTCTGGACACATTTTTGTACATGCAGATGTATGTGTAAGTGAGCAATAGTGGAACACGAACATAAATCTGTGCGACCATGCAACCCATCTCAGGGGGCCATCTAATCACCATCATTATTATACCAAGACCACATTCAGATTCACACATTGTACTAGCTAGGTCAGTCCACTCTACCAGTACAATCAGTGGAATCAACTTTAATTGGTTAACATGCCTCATCGCGGCCCAGGAGGTAATTTACCATCGTGTGCTAATTAAAGTGATAATCCCTAGCAGAGTTGCGGGAGATTTTTGGTAAAATAAAATTAGTGGAATCGGCTTAATTGTTGTAAATGCCTTATTGAGCCCTAGGGGGTAATTCACTATCGTGTGCCGATCAAGCTGATTCCACTGATTGTACTCTAGCAATAATCTCCAGCAGAGTTGGACCAACCCAGCTAGTATGATGCGTGAATCTAAAGGCGTCCTATCCCAAGACCATATAAAGGCACACGATTTACCTCGATCACAACTGTGCTGGGTAACACAAGAGTTTGATTATGTTTGGTGCCTATCACCTGCCTGTTGGGATGGGTTGTAATAAGTTAAAAGCTTCCAACCTTACTGGAAACAGGGCTTTTTATGAGTGTCCATATGTTTCTCCTTGTTATACAAGTACCATTGTGCATGAATATGATAATTTTACAATATATTTACAGAGCTTAAAACAGTGAACTGGATAAACATGCTATTGCATAGCAATATATCAGTACAGTTTTTGCTTACCTTCCACCTCCTTGAAGGACCCCCGCCACACCTCAAGATTGCTCAAAGCATCTTTGAAGCGGACTTTAAATCTTTCCCATTCCTAGAAATGACAATAATAAAAATACTGATTGGATTATATGCTCAAAATTTATTTTCAGGCAGTGTAATTGTGATGAGCATTTCCCTTTGTACTTAATGGCACACCCTTAACAAAACTTAACAATGTAATCATATCCAGTGTTATTTAAACAAGATTCTCAAATAACCTCAAATATATACTGTATAATCAAAGTATTAAGTATCATATAGTAACACACACAAAAGAAGATTCTTTACAATGGACCAAAAAACCATGCATGGCTTGTATTAAAAGACACATACCACGGATCTGTTCAATTTCCATTTTTCATATCCTGAAAGTTTTGTTGTGGGAGATGACTTCAAACGATCCCTAAAAAAAAAAAAAAAGAAAAAAAAGAAACAGTCAATACAACCTGATAGGTCTGAACAAAAATAGGCTACTTTTTTCAATGGCAACGATTCACATTTTGCTCACTTCTACAATATTAATTTTTTTCTTTTTGCATTCATTTGTTTCAAACTATATTTTTAAAAAAAGTAAAAGGCCTTTAATGAAATAATTTTAGAATCACATCAAGACCATGATATATATTATTTCATACACTGAGTAAATTTACAAATATATAAAACAATACTTTTTGAGTACAGGTTTTGAATTCTATGGGTTCTCATTTCATTCAGTGCACTTCAATAACTGGCTTCTTGGATTCACTTTGGGTGAGTTTATATTTCTTTTAAACATGTGATAAATATTGTACAAATTTAGATTGTTAATATGATTTTTTTCCAAAAAAAAAAAATTCTCTCATTAAATTCAAGCTGAAACACAAAAATGTTTTGACATCTGTAGGCTGAAGTGAAGAGTTCGACAGGAACAGTGCAAAAAAAAAAAGGGTGATAAATTACTGGTCACAAAAGAAAACCTTGCAATTTTCTCTGAGACCAGATTTTGTATCAGAAACTGCTAAGCCTTAATAAAATGTGTAAGACCCTAAAGTAAACTGTATACAGCACACCAGATATCTAGAACACTTAATCATTCTTTACACTGTGATAAGACATGTAACCCAACATAAAGTTAGGCAACACATGTGATTAAATATGGGGCAACAAAGCAGCAAGCATTAATTTTTTTTCTCATTTATACTAGGAGATTGAAATCGAGTTAACTACAGCAGTTCTGAAAAAATCAGCATAAACCATACAGTAATTAGATATGAAATAATCATCAAATTTAGTACAATGGCAATGTACAGCTATTTTGAATGGTATCCAGTAAATAAGCAAGATCAGGGCTCTAGAACAATATTTCTACATAAGCTATAGCAAAAGAGATTTGTTTCTAGTGAACATTCCAGGAATTTACTTATAGTATACTAAAAAAATTCACCTATGAACTCTGGCATGAAAATTGAGGGATCTGGACTTTCTCTTTCCAGAAACATCACGCTGCTTTCTGGTCGGAAGATTATCCAATATTTGGGCCACATCTGCTGAAGGGCCGTCGATATTTGGATTTCTATTAAAATCAAAATGATTCGGTGCTCCTAAGGTTTGGTGTGGAAAGTCATCATCTTCAACATATGCTGGATTGATGACGCCACGATCTGGGAAATTATCACCGTGAAATCTTCCATCTCTTTCCGTGTGTGGATAGGCACCTGGTCTCTCGTTATATCCATCATGTCTTCTCCCACCCAGGTGATCCTGATACCCGCCATTTTGCCACACATTAAAGTTGGGAGGTGGGCCCTGGTCATGTTCCCTACCATCAGGATACCTCCTACGGGGATCATTTCCATATGGGTCAGGTCCTCTGCCATACCCCCTTCCATGCTGGTCATGTCTACCATAGTCATGCCCATTCATCCTTAGCTGCTGATTATTTCAAACTGCCTCTTACAATATACGTATATCCCTGTCTTTGTTGGATACAAAGGTGTTTTTTTGCCGTTTTATCAAATATGAAACTCCGGCTTGAACAGACTTCTACATACAGAAGGCTTTTCCCTGAAAATTTGAAAATCATTTATATCAGTCTATAGTGCATTTCTCACAAGTGTTATTAACTGATCAAAGTGAAAGTGACGTTGAAGTCTACCTGTACTTTCAACAATACACAATGCAGGGTAATCTGCCCCACCCTCTCATATGAAACTACACCGAAGCCCCATGAAAGTTCCTGTTTCACAACTAATACATACTAAACTGTCAATAACTTTAACAACTCTGAAATATGATCTTAACTCAGTAAGGTTAAATAAGATATACCTGTCATGCAGTCCACTATGTGGGTTATTGTATAATTCTTCAATATTGATCCGTTTCATACACAGAACCACATGCTGTCGCATGCATGCACGAGCAGTTTGTATAGCAAGGGCCTGTGGAATGTCCACAGTTGAATAGGCTAATATGGAGTACCTATTGTCAAACTACACACTCGAAGCAGGGTACCCCCACTGTTTGCTTAATCACATGATCAATAATATGTTTACCATTTCTTAAGCCTGGTGTCACGATTTCGGACTTATTCCAAGAACAGCACCGTCATCTATTACTAAGCACTGCTATTCAAGGGTTCCATATCAAGTTACACCAAAAATATGAAATGGATTTAAATTTTGGAAAGGAAGAAACCTAGCTAGCCCTCTTACTGTTACATTATGAACAGGCAAGTCAATCAAAAGGTATGTATTGTATAATACAAACTTTGCATAGCTTAAATCACAAAGAGAATACTTACTTGCTTACCTCTACAACAATCTATTCATCAGGTTAAATCATTTTAAAGCAGTTTACTTGTGTCCTTAACTTGGATTACAGGCCGAGGACACCAGTTTGAAGGATCTACATTGTAACATGAACATTAAATCAATATTCGCATATAACATTTCATGGCAAATAACAACTTTTACCTTGTCCTCTTGCACCAAACTCCTACACCAGGCTACTACCCCGGAAGACCTTTTACTTGAAGAACACGCTCAACAACACGAAAAGGCACTTTGAGCTCCAAATCTGTAGGTTCCAATCAAGGTCAAGTCCAAAATGCAATACAGCAGGGGATACTGCAATATGGTTAGGCTTGGCTAAACCACAATCTGACTGAAACACATTTTAATTTGATAACCACCTGTTGAAAAATTAGTCTTGCGCCATATGCTTTTAAAAATCTTTGCTTAAACAACTACCTACTTATGAAATACTCAGTTTAATACCTTCCTTCGTAACCCTTCTCTGTGGTAACTATCCAAAACCTTTACAAACCAAACATGAATACCCCCCAACCAACAAGGAAGTTTTCTTTGAACTTATCACCTGTCAAGGCATGTTTAATGAAGCAATCAATAAAACTAAACCAAAGAAAATAGAGTTTGAGATTATAAGATGACGTTTCAATTATACAATAAAATAACACACTAATAGATCAATATCATTTTTTTTTTTTGCTAACTTTGGCATTAAATGAACACAATAATCATGACTGTTTGCATAACCTAATAGCCTCTTTAGTGCTGATAAAGTTGAAATGAACTAGACTACACAAATGTTCTGTTCTTCCAAGTGTTAGAAAATGAATTTACAAGAAAAATTATATGACGCAGTATGGTCCCAGTCAATTTAATGTATATTCCTTCAATGCAGGTTATGTAACCAATAATTCAGTTACAATGCATTCATATTTCATGAGCAAGAATGTTAAAGCAATTCATGAAAGTTCTAATTTGGCAGAAATCTTAAAATGTATATTTTGGTATAAGATGTTATATAAATTATTTAAGATATATAAATATTTTTTTACAGATTTGACTTTACAAATAACTATAACTCTCAGGTTTTCCCAAAATTAAACTGCCATCAATGTCTTAATCAGTATGGAAACTAATTTATCTGTCTACATTGGACAAGTTTATTTGCAGAAGTTAACCATGCTGTTTGCCAACTCTTATCAGACCAATCTGATACTGCGTACACAAGACTATGTGGATGTGGAGTTTATAAGTCTCTGGAACAGTTATAGTGGTAGCCAAGCTAAATGACGTAGACATATATGCACATTCAACGCAGACATGATTCACATCATAAGGGTTGACAAAGTTCATGTAACTGACTGAATTTGAGCAATATGGGTAAGTAGAACAGCTTGACTTAAATGCTTTATCGTGCTTTATGAAAACGCCACATTTTGCTCTTACAGCATTTTTTATCTAATTCATCAAAAAATAGTCTGCTCACTTTTGTAAAAATTGATGTAGGGCTCTGTTCTAATAAAATACCCAAATTCGTAATTAATAAAATTTTGTTATTCATATGCATACCACGTAAATACTACTGTTGATCATCAGTGTTTGGTCACTTTAAGCTCATACGTAAGTGCACTCTAACACGTTTGATGGGAAACAAAATATTATATCAAAAAATACTAGTCACACTTAATACTCTTGCGGCAACCTGTTGGTGTTATCAATTGACTACAGAAAAATCAATCCACTGATTTTATCTTCTAAAAATTTCAGTATCAATTCATAAACAGCATGATACATTAAACATGGAGGGGGATGGGAGAGACAAAGGGTAAGGGCAGTTTTGGAGAGATAAGAGTTTTTATTCATTTAACAGCAAGAGCATCATAAAATCACTGTAAATGGATAGAATTCAATATGATAAGGGTGCTCAACTATGTATCAGGCAGTTAAAAATAGGGCATGCCATTTACTTAGAAAAGAACTATCTAGGCCATGCAGTTACTTCTGCAAACATGTAGAACTCTGTATTAGTTATGCCAGATATATGCAGGTATAAGGAGCATACATGATTTACCTAGAAAAGCTATTATCTGGAACTACCACACAATTTACATTGAAAAAGTTGGCTGCATTTTCGGAATTAACTGTTGTTAATTTCTCCTACTGCACAATTAGGGTCTATCAATTAACTCCAGTTGTGAAGAAAATATTGCTTTATTTTTTGCTTCCTATTTTTTTCATTTAATTTCACATTTTATATTCTCATTCTGCAAAACAAATCAGTTCTTTAAAAATGACTATGGGAAAAAACAGGAAACAGGCAGCACAGAGAATAAAGTGCATGCTACACATACAACTATCACATTCATTTCTAAATACATCTGTTCTGAAACAATGCATTAACTCCAACAAAAAAACACATACTACTCATGACCATTTTATTTTATTACTCAAAAGCAGATAAATACATGTACAATTCATACCGATAAAATATAATAAATATTACAATTATTGCATCCATGCTGACATGTCTATATTTGTTTTCATAATATGTTGTAATAATTAAGCAATTTAAATAGTATACCTTAGAAAAGAAATTGGATACCATGCAAAATAGCCCCCCCCCCAAAAAAAAATAATAATAATAATAAAGAAATAAAGAAAAGAAAAAAATGAGCAACAATACATTGATGGCAAGGAAAGGAAAATGTGACAGTCTCTTGGGGAATCGAGTTGATAAATAATTAAGTTTATCTTAAACAGCACAACCCATCGTATCACACTATTAAATTGTATAACCACGTATTTCTACCATGCACATACTTGTACCTGAAATGTTTTTTTAGAGTCAAAGAAGTGGTCATATCCTTGATGGTTTGACGTCGCCTCCAGTTCATTTCCTCATCTTCCACCTCTACTGCACTGTCCACAAGGTCCACCCCTAAGCCTGATGTGGGGACGCGTGATGTGGGGCCCCTGGTGAGAGTGGTCCTCATGGTGGATCGTCTCCGAAGACTGCTCCTGCTCTGATGGGACAGGGAGCGTGCCCGCGACACAGTGAGGTGTGTGTCAGAGAAGGGCTGGTGACTAGGGAGTTGAGCAATGATGTTCGCAGCAGCATGACTGCCATGGCGAGGTCCTCTTGTTGTGGTATGAGTATGAGTATGCGTCTCGGGGGAAGGGAATACAGATTCATTACTGCTACCTGTAACAGTGAAGTGTAAGTTCATAAGAGGTCATAACTGGATGAGAAGTTACATGACACTATATAGATAATGTACTGTACTGTAGTATCAGAGGTTACTTTGACATTTTGTGTTAACAGTAGCAGAGTGAAAAGTATGTGCAATAGTACGAATGATGAAATAAACTCTTTCATTTCTTAGAAGTAATAATACGAAATGAAACTATCACATATGAACCATAATCAATAACACAAAGCAAAATGCAATAAAATCTAATAAATGACCATTCCTTGCTGCAGTAGATGTGTCCTAAGAATTGCTGCTCAACTAGCACAGTGTGATTCTTAAACAAAGGTAAATTTTTATAAAATTGTGGAATCCAGAAAGTGCTCTCTGTTAAAGATTTTGACATGCTTTTAATAAATGTTGCAATTAATGTAAATTCACTTCTTGGAGATATTTTGTATTTATTAATTGATTTGCAAAAAAAAAAATGCTTTGTCACTGTAATTATTTTAATTAACACTGATTATTAATAGGTGCTGGAAGACTTTCTGTGACTGTCCATTAGTCCAAAACATATCATGTCATGTTTGGGCTATATGTCATAAGTTCATAAGAGTTTAATTGATGTAAACCATCACACACACACACACACACACACACACACACACACACACACACACACACATGGTAAATGAATGATACAGCTACAGATATAGACAACTACATATAATGATTTATAAAAGGGTAACTTGGAAATTTACAAATAATATTTACATTGACATACTGTAAATCATATAGTAGATGTTCCATACAACAAGCAAAGAGAATGCATAAATAATGGTGCTGCATGAGTCTTTTCCCTTTGTTGAAAACAGCTATTTAGATAGGGCAAAACAAATTACTACTCTCAGGATATCCTGAATACCCATGAGGATATATAGAAGATTTTGAGTTTAACTCAGTCTTCAAGGGCTAGAAATCCTGATAACTTGCCTGTGGAATGCAAGGAATCATATGCTTTAAACAGTACAAAGTAATGGATCACCTAATATTTATTTTACATATTTTATCATATGCTGAACAATTACATGTACATGTACTTTGGGTGTGTCCAGTGAAATGACTCCATCATACGACACGCAGATTACAGAATTGAGCAGAAAAAGCAATAGATAACATTGAATTTAGGTTATAATAACTTGCGTCCACTTAATAACATCGATAAGGTCGTACTATAGCACTAAATCATCGACTGGGCCTGCACGGACTAGTGACTATGTAAAAATTTAAACGGTCTCAATAAATTTCAGAAATTAATCAATTACTAAATAAGAGTAAATCGTCTCACCTGTGTCTACTATATCAGGGGCATATGTTACGGACCTCCTGTTCTCTCTACTGGCCATAGCATTAGTTATTTCATTAAATTCTGAACCAAACCAACATAAATAAAAATACTGAATCTTCTGACTAGAGCAAACTTTCGATACTTCCGGATGTACAAAAAGGCAATTAGCCAAGACGAGCCAGACACCTTGTTTTCTACAGCCTCGAACGTGTTAACCCACCTGAACATTATGCTCACATAATGTAAAGTGATCTGTTAACGGAACAACACTCGAAAACGGTGTGCTTTGATCCGTTTTTCTATTTGTGTGCTTGTGAGACTTACTTTGAGAGAAAATGAAAGCGAAAGTCACAGACGTTTCGGGACAGTAATGCAAATCTCAGCAGCTGATTTTTTCACCAATTTTCGAGTAAACAAAGTAGAAATCATGTTTTAATTTCTGGGCATAGTCGGCTAATGGAACTATGGGTTTATCTTAACGTAAAAGCTCAAAATGTTGGTCTAAAATGAAGTTCTGCGATATTGTTTTATTTTTTCTCTTATGTAAGAAAAACGAAGTAACAAGTCTAACAAGCAA